TTTAAATATTATGTGGACTAATATGGCTTACCAATTTAAATTACAAGATATATATATATTTATTTAATTTACATACACACACCAAACCATAAGACACTTACCTGACAGACAGTCATTGTCGCCAAATAGAAGATAAAATGATCTCTTCTTTTAGAACCTTGGGCAAAAGTCAAGCTTTTAGCTGTTAGACAAAAATATCTCTGTTCTTTTATGCTTTCTTGATTTCTCTTAACAAAACAGAAAGCTTTGGTCCCAATATGACCAGAAGGCAAAGATTTAACAATTGCGCTGGTTCCTGTATAAACAGACTTTTTCACTTCTTTGTAATTTTTACAAAATCTCCTAACAAGCAGCGTTGAGCGGTCTTTTCGGTTCCTTGAAAGATCATTTTCCATCCCCTCTTCACATTTTTCATGCAAGTCTTGCATTTGAAATGGCTGTGATGAAAGAATGCAGGGTAACTTCTGTCCATCTGCATTGTCTCCTGGAAATTCTGGCATTGTCCCGGAGCACAAATTTGATTGGTAATTCACAAGCAGGCCCGGGTCACAATTGAGACCAGCATGTTCATGGCTACTTCCACAACTATCAGAACTGCAGGAGCTGGACACACAACTATTACAGCAATTTCTCCTCATTGTCTGTAAATGGCTGCTCAAAATACACGGGTTATTTGTGGAACTGGAACATAAACCACTCTTCTGAGTGGAATAACTTTTGTGTAATGTTGGAATGTGAGTGGCAGCATCTGTGCAGTGATCATTCACTATTAAGTGACCCTTTAATGCCTGCCCTTCCAGAGATGATGTATCTGCTTTAAAATTAATTTCTGTCAACACAGCAGGAATCTGGGAGTCTGTACAAACATTGTTCTGTTTAAAGGGATTGTAGGACTTGCAAAACTGATTAAAACCTAGGCTGGACTTGTAGGCTCGCTCAAACATTTTGCTATTGAAATAATCACTGGCATGGGGAGTACAGTGGTTCCCTTGCGCAATACCTCTGTCATTAAGGGTTTTACCACTTTCACCTTTGCTTTCTATTACAAAAGGCTTGGTCACAGAATTCTGAGTTCTGTGTCCTTTTAACTTTGTTAAGTCTGGCACAGTCTCCATGCTATGTCTTTTTATAACGCTAGTATCCAAACTATTCTTAGAATTTTCATCTCCAGTTGACTGACAAGGTATCACTTTCCCCTCCACTGGTGGTAAAACAACAGAGGCTGCAATATCCTCGGAGGTCATACTGAGACTTTGGACTTTCTGCTTCTTCGACCACGGATCAGATACACAATGCCCTGTACTTTAACATAAGCTCATATTCTTGCAATAAAAATATCAATACCGTGAAAACATTTATTTTGTTTTGCAGCAGATGTGAAATGTTTTTCCCTTGTCTTGAATCCGATACTCTTTGTCACAAATCATGCATTTTTAAGTATAGTTCCATCCAGCTGTTTACTCCAGAGATGAACGAGCACAGCTTAGTGTATTCATTTCTGATAACAGACACACACATTCCAGTTTCATTCCAGGAGTATCTAGTACTGGAAAATGGTCCACAATACGACATTTCTGCAAACAGAAAGAGAAAAAAATTTAGTAAAAAAGCCAAAATGTTGTCTAATTTACTACTCTGATAGGACAATTAATTTACAGGGAGTGACAAAAAGGTAATTTAGCAGTTTCAAATTATATTAACATTTTAAAAGTACACTGAAAAACAAAAATGTATGATTACAACTGATTTTTACTGTAGTAACCCGATTAGAACATTCTATAGTACTGAAGGATAACGTTTTTATTGTTGCACAGATCACCTAAAGGTAAATCAAAATCCTATATTTTAGAGTTGTCATGAGAACAAGAGTTGAAGACAATCCTGGCGAAAATGTACTGTTGACAACACAGATAAGAGATTTCCTCTCACTTACTCTTAGGCCCCAAGACAGGAAGTGAAGGAAAAACTCAGTTATGTTGTCATTCTGTACATCATAAACAAATAAACCAGCAATATAGCGCACCCCAATGCACAGGTGTAAAGGCTACAATTCCCCAACTGGTGAAATGGGAAAAATAAAAGTCCCAAACTGGAAAGCTTATTAAAATAAACCTGTACTGTAAAAATAAAATAAAAACATTAAATATGGAGGCTGCCATTGCTGACCTTCTAAAAACTATTTGAGTAACAAAATCTAGCCCCCATGCTTTGAATCACAGAATAAGCATGTAGCTAGTAAAGACATAAGAATCAGAATTTTCGAGCCAACATATTTTTCCAGTAAAGGTTTCTTTTAACCTGTAACAAACAAAGGATTTTTATCCCCTATAGAATATAGTGCAACTCAGAACTAGACAACAATGTCTAGGTAGGATTGCTAATTCCCTTAGGATCTAGTATGCCTGGTCAGACTGTGGATCCTTGTATGCCTTAGATACACTTACTGCATAATTTACAACTCTGCTCCTGTACACAGGGGGGTTTGGGTGTTGCCACACCTCCTGCTGCATTATCCCTAACATTAAAATATTAATTAATACAACAAGGAGAATGGGAAGCCCTAAAATGGCTATAGATAAGAGTGTAGACCCAGCAATGCAAGGGTGAAGATAATTTAAAATAGTGTTTAGAGATATGAGAAATGGTCAGGTGGTTTAGCTCTCCATCTACCAAAAACTGAAACATCAGATTAGGGTAAACTGATTCTTTGAACTAGCTCATATTCTTACCCAATGTGTCTAGCCTTCCAGGAGAAAAAGGAAGAAGCAACTGGGTGAGGCTAAATAGTAAAACTGGCTTAGAGCCCAAATCACATACTTTGCATACACAAAAAGAACCACAAAATAACATTTTTATATTGCTGGCATCAACCCATTTCCATTGTTTAATTAAATATTTTTTTTAATGTTTAAATATGTTATTTTCCATGAACACCTGGTAGCAAAGTACTTTTGCAAATATATCTGAGAATACTGGGAAATACAGGTCATCTAGCAGAGAACAGAGTCACATCCAATAACTATATGGCTAAGATGAAACAAAACCATTTAAAAATCCTAGATGTTAACACCTCAAAGAACTTCTCTTCAATACATTTTTCCTGTCTATTGTGTACGGGTTGAGCTTTTAGCAAAGTAGAGACAACAAATTTGAATTTTGCAAGATCAGAATATTTGAAATATAAACAAGACAGATAAGGTATAGTGTTAGAGTTCACCAGAACATCATAACTACATTGCTTCCTTTTTGTTTTTGTATGCAATGAAAATAAAAAAAGCTAAAGCAACATGCAGACATGCATAAATACAGTTTGGTAACGGGATGAACACTTAAAGGAGAACTATGAGGTGAGTGCTTTTCACTCACCTCATAGTTCTAGCCGACCTGTGACAATGAGACTGTCACAGGTCGGCTCAGTAGATCGGGAGGTGAGCGAACACACACCGGGTTCGCTCATCTCTCGATCATGTCACGGCTCTCTGCTGTGACAGTGGGAGGGGCTGAATTCCCCTCTCCCCGCTCCTATCTGAAGGCGCTGACTGGCGGAACGGACGGGGGAGGGGGCGGGTACAGCTGGCTCTGCCTCTAGATAGGCAGAGCCAGCTGTCACTCACGCAGCTGGGCGGATCCCGTCATCTAAGTCGGGATCCGCTCCGGCTGCGGCGTCTCAGTATACCGCGAGCTGTAGCTCGCGGTATACTGAGCTTAGGGTAACGGGAGGACGCTAGTTTGTGTCCTCCCGTTACCCGGAGAACTATGGGGAAAAACACTGACCCCATAGTTCTCCTTTAAAATCATTTATATATATTTACACAATAGTAATACCATAACACACCATATAGAGGATGGATGGTTTTTGGTGTTGAGAGTGCAGTACTATTATTTTCCTGACCATCATCCCCAACGTAACCCTCTCAATAACCTTACCTTCACCTGAACCCTAAGGCCTGGTTCACACCTGGGCGTTTTACATCGCTGATCGACGAGCTGTAAAACGCCCAGCAAGTGAAATCCCATTATTTCCTATGGGCATGGTTCCCACCTGGGCGTATTTCAGCGCGTAGGAACGCGCTGAAAAATGCCCTACGCCCAAAGAAGTACAGGAGCTTGTTTGGGGCTTATTTTCCACGCGTATCCATTAGGCTACAGCTGGATAGCCCTCGTAAACGCGCGTTTGTCACGCGTTTTGTTGACCGCAAATCGCTGTAAAAGCGTGCATTTTACAAACACCCAAGTGTGAACCCAGCCTAAAAATGAACCAGTTTCCTGCAAATACTAGTAGATGTTTGTACGAACACTCAAAAAAAATCTCCTCAGAACATTTGATAAAGCCATCAGAGACTTGGTGAATGTTGTTCAAAATTTCGTTTGATTTTAACATTCAATTTTGGAATAAATGGAGTTTCACAAACAAAACCACATTCACTGTTCGAATTTCACTACTTACATTTTTTTTTTCACCACCAGGGTTAAAAACGATTGTTGTTTTTACCTCATTAACTATTAGAAAATCAAACAAACCTTCCAAAAACAAATTTTATTAAAACAAAATTCTACTGGTGTATGGCAATCTTAACTCTTCACCTAATAGTTACAATTCAGTCATGTCATGAATTCATGGCTTGACAATTCTCAGTCACCACGGCAACTATTAAAAAGTTTCAGGTGATGGAACATCCTGCACTCATGTTCCCACACTCAGGTCTTGAAAGCTGGGCAACCTGCTGCACTAAGCTAGTATTAGGGAATTTCCTGTCACATGACACAGAACTCAGAGGCAGCCAAGTCAGCTTCCAGAGTGGCGGGTCTCTCGGCTAGCACAGGTAGGTTTTAATAAATAACCAATATGCCTTACTGTGGCCCGGTGTAGAGCTAATCATTAAAGTAACTCTGTGGTTCAAATCAAAGTTAAATAAAAGGTTAACTTGTGAAAATTACAATAAATACTCACCTGTGCTCCTGGCCACACCACTGAATACCACTGTAACGAAGAGAAACCATCACCTAAAACTTTTCAGAATCCAACACATTTGGGAATGTTGGCTTGGTGTGGTCAGTGGTTGCTCCCACCAACCCCTTTGTCACTCAGGACATAGTAGTGACGTAGGGATTGGTGGGAGGAAGCACTGAGCTCATTGGAGGACCCGGAGATTGACACTCCTAGAAGTGCTGGTTTCTGAAAATTCTTCAGGCAACATTTTCTCTGCATTATTGTAGAAGGGTGTTATAAAATATGGTTGATGTGTTAATGGATCTTTAAAAAAAGGGCAGATGGAGGGGAATAAATAAGAACTCTATAGAGGATTCCATTCTAAAGCCAAAAAAGTCTTTTTTTTTATATCCATTTGGGAAGATTTCCCTTTGCTTCATGTCCTGAAAAACAACAGTGAGAGTGGTCACCAGGACAAATAGAGAAAGTGTATCACTGTAAGCAGTAAAAGCTTGACAGGGGTCCTAACCCTTCGCCACTCTATCCAAAATGGTTTTATGTAGATGAAGGAAAATCCCTGCAGGGGTTGTGTGTGTAGAAATATAGTTGACACTTTAGCCAAGGGCTGCCCATTATAAATTAAAAGCTTGGAAAACGTGCCTCCCATAGATGTCCAGAAAACCAGCCTCCCCACATAGTTGAATTGCATTGCCCAGCCTAGCAGATGTCGGTAGCATCGACTACTTCATCTCAAACAATGTACCGGGACTAGAATTAAGAGGCCAGTGAGAACAGAGTTTAGCCAGCTCTCAATCTAGCAGCAGGCAGTCTGAAGGTAAATGTAAATTACAATATTATGTCTATCCTACTGCAGTGCTTTTACTTGACGTTTCATGAAGTACTTTATATAGGAATAAGTGCCTGCATTAAAAAAATAAAAGAATAGTATTTGCATCATTTTCATAATCCAGGTTTTAAAGGTGTCTTGCCCAGTAATGCGTTTCCATTTTTATGACCACTTTCTAATCATTTCAGTTGTAGAAAATTAAAGTATATTGCATTAAATGTAACTTCAGTGAAGTCAAATTAGTTAGTTACACATCTACTGCTGTTTAGGAATCTGTGCATTTCTGCTTCCAGTGCTGTGTCCACTATGAGAGTGTGTGATATTAAAGTCAGAAGTAGGGATGCACTAACACCATTTTTTACAGCTAAAGAGTACGAGTAACGATACATTTTCTCAAGTACTTGCCGATACCAATTACCCATACCTTTTTTTTAGTGGCATGTGACAGTTTTTCTAAACAATACAGA